AAACCCCGACGGCTCATCGTCGGTGGACGCTGCGGTGGAAACTTCCTCTTCATCGGCTCCAGGATGAAGCAAGAGTCAGGCGAAAGAAGTGACAAAGGTGTGTCTTGCACCACATGAGATCTGCGAATCAAGCTTACTAGCAAGGTGCTTGATGGAAGAGATCCCGACTCTCCACCCCTATATCATCCACAATCCGACGACATTCTTCACAGCGCTGCAAAACCCAAAACCCCTAAACCCTCAAACCCTTCGCCCTAAACCCCCGCACCCCATACCCCTAAACCTCCAAACAACCCTGAACCCCTCAACCCTACACCTTCAACCCTCAAACCCTAAACCCTCAACCCTAAACCCTGAACCCCTCAACCCTCCACCTTAAACCCTCAACCCTCAACCCTGAAACCCTAAACCTTCAAACCCTAAACCCTGAACCCTCAACCCTCAAACCTCAAACCTCAAACTCTAAACCTTCAAACCCTAAACCCTCAACCCTAAACCCTCAAACCCTAAACCCTCAAACCCCAAACCGAGAGTGTCATAATCCTTCCCTTTTCCCTGGGTCTTCGGCTTCGCCACTGCGCCGCCGTCCTCGGCCTTTTCAGGCATAGGTCCGTGGGCTTAGGGCGAAGAGTTTAGGGTTTAGGGCTTAGGGTTTAGGGTTTAGAGTTTCGAGTTTAAGGCTTCGGGCTTAGAGTTTAGGGTATTTTTTAAGGGGCCTTTTGACGTCTGCACGAGGGCAGGCATGTTTGGGGAGTTTAGGGTTTATGGTTTAGGGTTTAGGGTTTAAGCTTTCGGGTCTAGGGTTTAGGGTCGAGGGTTTGAGGGTTGAGGGTTTGGGGTATGGTGCTCTTGTAACGGTTCTGTAGGCAGCGTGTAGGGGCTCTTACAAGGCAGTTCGTAATATGAGGGTTTAACAGGATCTTATGTGATGATTTCAGGGGCTTTGTATGGGGCTGCCATATGGCTGCTACATGGCTCTACAGGGTTTACTATTGGGGCCTTAACCTGTTCGAACAGAGTTTAGGGGTATTTTGCAGTGTAGTTATCTAGAGGATTCAGGGGTTGCGTTAAGGGGGGTAGCAGACTAGGGTTTAGGGTTTAGGGTTTAGGGTTTAGGGTTTAGGGTTTAGGGTCTAGTTGGGGTATCTCAACAAGAGTCAGGCATTAAAGAGTCTTGCGTACGACTTAAGAAGGTGCTGTGATGCGAAACTGTAACCTAACCTCTGACTGTCTGTTGTTTCATCTGTGCGGTCGGACAAACTTACCACACCGGGCTTCCGACTTTAGGGTTTAGGGTTTAGGGTTTAGGGTTTAGGCTTTTGGGTTTGGCCTGTAGCTCTATGCGCGAAGTGGGCCCAGTGTAAAGGAAAGCACTACAAGAGTCTTACAGCGAGTGCAGCCTGAAATGTTGAGGCCCCAAACAGATCCCTAAACCGTAAGAAGCTAAGCCGCCAAAGCCACTCTGAGCTTCTTTCTGCCCACAGCCTGAACCCATAAGCCCCTAAGTTCCCCGAAACCCCTAAACCCCCTAGGTTCCCTTAAAGCCCTAAATCCGAAGCCCTAAGCCCTGAACCCTAAGCCCTAAACCCTAAACCCAAAGCCCTAAACCCTAAACCCTAACCCCTGAAGTCGAAGCCCCGAAGAAGTTCCCCAAAGCTTGAGAAGCTCATTTGGGAGTTTCCGAAAATAGGGGACCCTGATATAGTACCCTAAATAATAGGATCCTTATTATAAGGACCCAAAAATAAGGTACCCCCTAATTTTCGGAAAGTCCCATCTGACCTGGCAAGGCCACTCCACATCAATCCTGAGGCTTCAGAACTCAAGCTTCGAGCTTGAGGATTTAGGACTAAGGGTTTCAAAACCCCCAAAACCCCTAAACCCCTAAAACCCCTAAACCCTAAACCCTAAACCCTAAAGTTTAGGGTTTAGGGTTTAGGGTTTGGGGCTTAGGCTTCGGGGGTTAGGGCCTTCAGGGGCCCCTGAAACCCCCGAAAGGCCGCTGTAAGCCTCGATTACGGCAGGCACCTTGAGCTACACAGCGCTTGAGTTTAGGGTTTAGGGTTTAGGGTTTAGGGTTTAGGGTTTAGGGTTTAGGGTTTAGGGTTTAGGGTTTAAGGATGGGATTAAGATATGACGATGGCAGAAATTCTTCAAAGGCCCCAGCCCCCGCAAACCCTAAACCCTAAACCTAAACCGGTAGTGGGCTCATGTGGTCTCTAGATGTCAGGACAGGCTTCGACATTGTGGAAGATGTGTTCAAGAAACCCTGAAACCGTATAGACCCCTACAAACCGGCTATACATCACTACAACAACCCGTATCCTCCCTTGCGAAAACCCTGAACCCTAAAACCCTCTAACCCTAATCCCTGAACCCTAAACCCTAAACCCTGAACCTCTAAACCCTAGACCCTAAACCCTAAACCCTAAACCTTGAACCCTGAACCCTAAACCCTGAACCTCTAAACCCTAGACCCTTTCAAGTTTTTTCGGCCAGGCTGCCTTGGCACGTGCAGCCTCCAATCAC